GGGATCGGCATTGGGGGGGTCCCCAACCCCCCTGTCCATCCCCGGGGGGCTGATGGAGGGGTTCCCCCCCAGGCAAGAGCCGGTGCTGGGGCGTCCGTGGGGCAGAGGGGGGTGGGAAAGGGGGGTCCGGGGTGGCCCCCTGAGCTGCCAGCGTGGTGTGGGGGGCTGGGGGATGATGGGAGGGGACGGGGCACCCCCTGACCCGTGTGCTGCACACACAGGGGTGTTCCAGGAGATGGCAAAGCTCGAGTGTCACTTCATCAACGGCACCGAGCAGGTGAGGTACATGGAGAGGCACATCTACAACCGGGAGCAGCTCGTGCACTTCGACAGCGATGTGGGGGTGTTTGTGGGGGACACCCCGTTTGGGGAGATCCAGGCCAGGCACTGGAACAGCGACCCAGAAGTGATGGAGTACAGACGGTCTGTGGTGGACACGGTCTGCCAGAACTGGTACAACATCCCGTTCCTGCTGAACCGCAGAGGTGAGCGTGGGGCAGAGCGGGTCCCCTCGGCCCCTGCCCCGGGAATGACCCTGGAGCCCCTCAAACCCTCCCTGGGAATCACCCCAGACCCCTCACCCCTCCCTCTGCCTGTCCCGTGGTTTTTTGCCCCCTCTCAGTCCATCCCAGTCCATCCCAGTTTCTTCCAGTCCTTCCAACGCCCCCTACTCTCTCCCAGTCCATTCCAGTTTTTCAGAGTCCATCCCAGTCCATCCCAGTCCATCCCAGTCTCTCCCAGTGCCCCCCCGCGTCTCCACGCGTCGATGCCCCCGAGCTCCCGCCCCTCAGCCAATGGCAGCGCGTGTCTCTGATGACGCTCCAGTTGCCAGGCAGACCCAAAGCAAACACTTCCCTCACCACCACTCAGCCTCCCAGGCCCGAGCGCTTCCTTCCCAGGCCACACCAGTCACTCCCAGTCCAGCCCAGTCACTCCCAGTCCCTCTCACTCCACTCCCAGACCCTCTCGATCCATTCCCAGTCCCTCTCAGTCCATTCCCAGTCGTTCTCACTTCACTCCCACATCTCCCAACTCTCTCCCCAGTGCCCCCCCAGCCCAGACCCTTCTCCCCCACTCTATTCCCAGTCCCTCCCAGTGCCATCCCACTCCCTCCCAGTGCCATCCCAGTCCCTCCCAGTGCCATCCCAATCCCTCCCGATGCCCTCCAAGCCCTCTCCCCTCCCTCCCAGTGCCCCCCAGCTGAG